TAGAGTCCCACGCTGGCACTAGGACGGTGATCAGCCGCTCCTAACATGGAGAACAGACGCCGTTTTGAGCCGCACCTCCATGGTGAGCAGACGCTCAGGTTTGGTGAAGCATTTCCTCTATCACCGTACTATGGTTACCGCGCCAGTGTTCGCGTCGCACCTCTTCACTTTGCTATTGCCGGACTGGCAACATTGCCCAGGCTACGCCAACCAGCTGTGTCCATGTTTCAGCTGGTAGTCTTTTGTTATCATATGACTCGAGGAGGCGTGAAGTAGGAACTTGTGAGGACCAGGGCTAGGTATTCCGCTCCTTCCAGGTTGTCAACTCACCATTTTGTTGCCTGTATATCTTCTAATAAAAAAGATATGCCCTGGTTAAATGAAAGTATTGACGATAATTTAATTGCCGTGGATGGTTACCGAGTTTTAAGGAACGATCGCAAGTACAGCAGAGGGGGGGGGGGGGGGGGCATTTGTATTTATCACAAACTAGATCTTGATTGCAGAGCTATTGCTGTCTCTGATTCTCTTACGGAATTGGAAGACTGTAATCGAACCGAATATATGTTTATTGAAGTTCGAGTAAACAATAAATTATTTCTCCTCGGTGCTATTTATTCGCCACCTAGAGTTGACTGCTCTAGTTTGCTAGATCAAAAGCTTTCCGAACTGTCACTTAATTATTCGAATGTTATTTTGATTGGAGATTTCAACATTGATGTGAGTAAAACCAGCGTTAGAACTTCACGCTTTTGCAGTGTTCTGGAAAATGTTGGATTAAACATTGTCAACAATGAACCAACGCACTTTTACTCTGGTGGAAGTTCACTGATTGATTTACTGATAACTAACGATACTGATTTTGTTCTAAATTTCAATCAAGTTGCTGCTCCTGGTTTTTCTCAACACGATATAATTTTTTCATCACTTAATATATCTCGTAGAAAGTTGGATCTCCCTAAGTTATTTAGGGCTTATAATCGTATTGACTACCCTCTTCTACAAAGTACGTTGACAAATTTTGATTGGTCCCCGTTATATAGTATTAGTGATTCTGACTTGGCACTCGAGTTCTTCAATGCACACATAGTGGATCTTTTCGAAAATTTCGTTCCTCTGCGATCTGTGCGGTCCAATCCCAATGCGATGTGGTTCAACAATGATATATTGAATGCAATGATTGCGAGAGACATTGCATATCGACTTTGGATATCAAGTAGAATTGAATCGTATCATATTCAGTTTAGAAGACTTCGTAATCGGGTAACCAGTCTGATAAATAAGGCTAAATCAAATTTTTTGAGCAGTGGCTTGGAAGCTGCTAACTCTAGTAAAGAGCTGTGGAAAAAACTTAAACATTTGAATGTTGCCGGAAACTCTAATAGCAGTGTGAAGATTCATAATACTAGTGATGAAGTTAATGCCTTTTTTGGTGAAAAGTTTACGATAGATCCTGAATTACCGACGATACCACCACTGAATCCTGAAGGTTTCCGTTTTTCTCCTTGCACTGATTTGGAAATTTTGTCTGCAATTTTATCAATTTCATCCAACGCGATTGGTATGGATGGTGTTCCTTTAAAGTTCATCAAATTGATTTTACCCTTCGTAATAACTCCGATTTCCTACCTGTTCAACTTGTTCATTTCGACCGCTAGATTTCCTCGTGCATGGAAAACCGCAAAAGTTATTCCAATTCGGAAAAAGCCTGCAGGCACTAGCTTGAATAACCTTCGCCCAATCAGTATCCTATGTTCATTATATAAAGCCTTTGAAAAGATTCTTAAATCTCAGATTCAAGAGTATATTAACCGATTTAACTTACTCAGCCCTTACCAATCAGGTTTTAGGTCAGGGCACAGTACAACTTCATCACTTCTTAAGGTGCATGATGATATCCATAAATTAATTGATAAAAAAGGAGTTGCTTTTTTACTTTTGATTGATTTCTCTAAAGCTTTTGACAGGGTCTCACACGTCAAACTACTGAAGAATTATCACACCAGTTCGGATTCTGTCGTGAAGCCGTTTCTTTGATCAATTCGTATTTAAGTGCTCGCACTCAAGTGGTGGATATTGAAGGTAATCTTTCGGCTCCCATTAATATATTATCAGGTGTAGCCCAAGGGTCAGTATTGGGTCCTCTTTAATTTTCATTATTCATCAATGACCTTCCGTCAGTATTGCAAGTCTGTTTGATCCACATGTTTGCGGATGATGTTCAATTATACCTCTGTTCAATTGATGCATCTGTAGAAGAAATGACTCGTCTAATCAATAATGATTTGAAGTGTGTATCGCTATGCTCTTCAAGAAATCTGCTTCCGATAAATTTATCTAAAACAAAAGCGATGTTTATTTCCAGACGGCAGACACGCATTGAGTTACCAAATCTTTTTATAAATAATGATATTATTGACTTTGTTAACAAGGCTTCTAATCTCGGTATAATATTACAAAATGATTTAGAATGGGATTCTCAAGTAAATTCCCAATGTGGAAAGATTTATGCTGGATTACGACATTTAAGGCTAACGGCTGCTATGTTATCGGTATCAACCAAAATCAAACTTTTCAGCTCTCTTTTGAAACCACATTTTTCGTATGGACTTGAACTGATTTTAAATGCTTCTGCTAATGCTTTGGATCGTTTAAGAGTTGCCTTAAATCACTGCGTACGTTGGGTTTTCAATTTGTCAAGATACGCTAGAGTAACACACTTACAACGGCAGCTTTTGGGCTGCCCATTTTATGAATTCTTTAAACTGAGAAGCTGTGCTACCTTATTCAAAATTATACATCATGGCCCAAACTATCTTCATGAAAAATTACAACCATTCAGAAGCGCTCGAGTAAGACACTTCGTAGTACCGCAGCATAACTCCTCTCATTACGGTAGTACCTTTTTTGTTCGTGCAATTATACTATGGAATCAGCTTCCTACTTACATTCAATCTATACAATCAGCTGCAGGATTCTACCGTGAGAGTTTGAACTGGTTCAGTGGAGGGAATTGAATGGAATGGAATGAGCAAAGGGTTGAGGTTTGGAATAGCATATATTTAAAAGTAGTTTTGTATTATATTAAGTTATGTTTTGAACCTTTTTGTTAAAGTGGATTGAATTGCATTTGTGGTGTGAACAACGAAGAAACCGATTGTAGAAATTTATAAGAGAAAACTCTTACTCTACAAGTATACAAGTAAATAAATAAATAAATAAATAAATATAGTAAAAAATATGAATAAATTCAAATTGATTTTATACGAGTTTAAAAATAACATACCTCCATTTTTTTCTTCATATTATTGAGAATAACATACGCCCTTTCAAATGCCGTAAAAACTTTTTTTTTTGTTTGCCCCAACCAGAGATATTAACATTTGTAAAGTGCATATTTTTAGTATAAAAACGTCAATAACTCTTGATCGGTGAAAGATATTGACTAGCTTTGTGGAGCAAAAATTTGCGCCTCTAAAAGTTATTTTAAGACATCTTTGCTGAGAAATTCGAAATAAGAAAACTAGAGCAAAACAACTGTTTTTTAAGAGCCACCCTAGCTCAATTAATGAAAATAGCCCTAAATCGGCCAATTTAAGAGATAAAAAAAAAAGATATTTTGAACAAAGTTGCTTGAAATTAGCTCAGCTATAACTTTGCCGAAGAATGTATACCTTAATTTATTCAATCAAAAAAGTTAGATTTTTTATATTAATGATAATAGGAACCACCCTAAAATTCGTTGTCATAAAAATGAGGGCCTAACTATAAGCAACAACTTTGTAGAAAAGATTTTTAGTCTAAAGTTTCAATTGCAGGCACAAAACATATCATTCCACCCAAATCTGCATTCTGGACCAGGGCTGGCAAATGTCATTTTCTATGAAAGATCTCACGCTATATTTACAGAGATACTTCTGTCACTATCATCGAATGAGAAAACGATGATAGAGATTTTCTTCAAAATCTCATCGATTTTTTAGTCATGACAGAGAGTTACAGTGTTGTGATCATCGTGATCACTAGCTCATGTATTGCTATTAAAGTTGCTTGTACCGAGGAAATCTTAAAAATATATTCACTCTACCGATTACATACGGTTATTTGCTTGAATTCATCTAAATCAGTTAGAAATGTTGATGCCAAAACCGCATAAGAATTATTCTCATGATTGCTTGATCATTCGAAAATGACAAGAAATCTAATGATCGGTCGCTTCGTCTTGTGATAGTGAGAGGACCTGTTTTCTCATTGTCACATGACAGCCGTGATATTTACCAGCTCTGTTCTGGACCACTGTGCAGTGTTTTTACACCACTCTGAGTTTTTAGTCGATCCCTGTCTTCAGTACAAAACCAATTACTACTACTAAATAAATACTGTTATTTTTACTGATTTTTCGTGCAATACCGCCAATTTAGATAAAAGCGACTTTCTCAGTAAATATTTATTCTGTGTACAGTATTTTGCATTGAACGTTATCGAAACTCAGTTTGTACTCACTGAATGTCGGTCATCCGACTGATTTCAACTGGATTTTCAGTAGAAGTTTTGTTTTACGGTTCAACTCAATACTGGATTAGTGTGTACGAATTGGATTCATTCAAGATATCATAAGCTAATTAAAAACTCCTCTGTAGCTATCCTGTGAGACCTATAACCTTAGCTCGGAAGGTAACTCTTCTTGACACAGCCCATATGGCACTGACTAATGAGATCTTTGAATGTAATTCATTGCATCGTGTTAAACATGCAACTCAAATCCATGCTTGTTCCACTTCCAACCAGAAACAAGAAAGCCAGTATTCCAAATCGCCAGAAGAAGAATCCATAGAAAGTCAAAACAAGCCAGTGTTAACTCTGAAGAGCCAAGCAATCGATCGGGTCGAGTGACATATTGGTTTCCTTTCTTCGGTAATGGCGCACACAGGCCCTTTTGTACCAGACTTATTTATACACAAAAAAAAATGTAGGTATTTACAGTAGATTGTCATACTCACTGTGAACATAGGTGGCCTGCTGCTGCTGCTGGTGATGATGATGAGCAGTCGGTGGAATCATGTTGGCATTTGAATCGTACGGTGGTGGAGGTGGCGGATGGGCATAGCTCTGCTGTGCCGGTGGATGAGGGTAGCCGGTTGGCTGAGGCTGGTTCAATACCGGTACAAATCCGGGTGCATTGGGGTACGGTGGTCCTTTACTGTCCATCGTGTTCTAAAAGATATGGGAAGCAAACAAAAATAAGTTAGAGCTGCACAGCTGCGTTTTATTATTATTCTCGGAAGCGTTCTAGATGAATAGATTTGCGTGTAGGTGCTGAAGTATGACTAATTTTGCTGCTAAGTGAAAACATTTTAGCGCGTTTTTGAGAATATGTTTTGCCTCTTTAGGTTATTACAACTGGCGGTTTCTGTAGGTCAACTTTGAGGTATACCGATACCGTTAGCCTGACGTCTCAGATGCAAATAACGTCTGAGAGTGGAGCCAATTTAGAATGCAAAATCAAACGAGCCCCTACAGTCAAGCAGCAGTAGTCCCCATGCAGGATGCCGGTATGTTAATTCGACAACAATCGGATTTGCGATCTGTGTTGGTCGACGGTGGCTGGCATCTAAGAACGTATCAGAATACGTGCATCACCCGTAACCTAGTTTCCGTTCGGTATCATTGATTATGATATTGTAAATGTGATCAGACGGAAGGATTAACACGCGGCGTTTCTCAACTGGGTGGAATGGAAGTGGGATTACCACACAAAATGCTGATGATTGCGCTTTTGACCCGTTCAATGGGCGTCGGTTATCAGTTGTTTCTTCAGTATCAATGTCAAGTACCGCCTGATCTGGACCTCGTGGCAGTGATTAGGCTGATAGTGTGAGGGACGATTTAATGGTGCCAAGTTAATGTGTGGTAATCTTGACATTGATTGATATCACAACTTCAGGAGTGTTGGTGAACGCTTTGAACACTTCGAAAACTGGCTTGCACTGGTAGATTGAATTGGTTCAACCGAATTCGATAGTAAATGATTTTAATGATGAGCTTCATTGCAACATGGACATTACGGAATGGGGATTTGATCTTATATGAAGATTTTATCTATTAAGAAATCATAATTATAGCACAATTCAGTTCGACATGGCTACCTAAGCTATGATACTCGATAGAATAATTAATGATTTCATTTATATAAAAAGTATAATATGAATGTTGATAACGCCGCATAAATAAGGTATACGCGTTTGGTACCCTGTAGTCAATGACTTTGATCCAGTGAGACCAATTTTGAGAAAAGTGATATCCGTAGACTTGCGGTACTCATTATGATTACTCCGATAGTTTTAGGTTACCCAAAGAACTATTCAAAGGAACCAAATAATATCGAGAAGTCTCTGGAAAACCAGGAAAGCATAGCCAAAGGTAAGTCCAACGTAATATGCGGATACGACCAACATAATTAATCCAGTATCATCTAGAGCTTCACAGTGGTAAGTCGAAAACCTGTAAGGTGTGCAATATCTAGGTCCGGTTCTCAAAAGTTCCTACCTCACATCTCCACCAGTCATAGGGAGCAATGTTATCAATTCGGCAATAGCAAAGTGAGGGGGTGCGACACGAACATCGACACAAAAATTTAATCATTTTATGATTATTTTAAATTTACAAAATTATTCGTCTTCTCTTCTTCAAGCTTACCAATTGACGTACCAAAAAATGCAGAACGTCCTCAGAGTCTGAAGCAGTTTCCTAAAACTCTCAGAACCTATTTTAAGCTCGCTGAACTTAAATGGAGTTTGCATAACGAACGAGTGTGTGGTGATTGTGGGGTGGAAGCAGTGCTATGACGAGCACCTCAACTATGATGTCGTGTCGTATTCCCAATCTACAAAAAGGACGACAAGCTGGATTGCTGAGCGCCGCCTACAATTCTAGGCCGCCGCCTGTCACACACGTGTATCATCTTCGGCTTTGCTTCGTGAAGCAGCTTGCCAACAATTTACTCGTTTCCTTCTACCGCCCTGAGTGAGCTGTGTCGCACGGGCTGCTTGTCATGAAAAAGAATGAAGAAGATTATATCATTATTGCTTTCCACTTCTGCCATAGCGATATCATTCGGTTCGTTGATCGCTTGTCATTTTGTCATTTGAAGATATTTTTGATTCCTTGATCAAGATCATATACCGTATGTGTGATAATGTTTGCACCATTGAGCAATGTCAAAATTTAAAAAGAATTCTCAAAAATTTCGTTTTCGAGTTTTTTTTTATTTATTCAAATGTGTTGTTTCTCAGAGTCCTCAACTATGTTAATCATCGATCGAGTTTCCACTTGCTGCAATTACAGCCTCCACACGCTTTCGGAATGCACGGCAGGTTCTAATAATGTAGTCTGCATCAATTTCACTTCAGGTACGGGTCAATGTTTGCGAAGCGCGTTTAGAACAGGCCTTGGCCTTCATGACGCGCCATATTGAGTAATCCAGCGGATTGAGATCAGGGCTGGATGGCAGCCACATATCCTTCGCCCAGAACGGAAGATGTTCCTGCAACCACTTTTGAGTGTGGTTCGAGGTGTGACACGGAGCCCCATCTTGTTGAAATACAACATTTGACTTCGGACCGTACCTTTAATCCACGGAAGAACATACTTACTTAAAATCCCGATGTAGACCTCCGTGTTGACCTTGTCGCCTTCTGGAATGAACACCGGGTTCATTTTTTTGCCATCGGAAGCCACCAATCCAAACACAGGGCTGGTAGCGATCACTGCGGTCAAAAATAGTGATTTTAGTGACCATGTTGAAGAAATAAGTGACCAAATAGTGACTTATAGTTGTAAAAATAGTGACTAAAAAGTGACTTAAGAGAAGAAAAGTAGTTGTTCTGATGGCACACCAAATAAATGTTTGATGTTTAAGATTTATTCAATAAATATCTCATGAACACTTATGTACGATATGAACCTTTAAAGTGAAAGATTCAATAGAAACTTTATGACAAAACCCACGTTATAAGTCAGGGTGTCTAATAACTGAAAACACCTGGAAAACCGGGAATTCTCAGGAAACTTTATTTTTTCTTAAAATACTTGTAACGTTCAGATAATTTAATGATTTTATTACTAGGGATATTTCAAAGAAAAAAAATAATTTTAAAATACAAGCATTTAAATTTTTCTCGTTATTTTCATTCACGCTTTAAACATTAAAGATAGAGTGGATTAATCTTCAGTAACGAATAAATTTTAAAAAAAATCGAGAATTGAAATGTTGTTTTTTTTTTGTTTTTGAATATGCATATTTCCTAGAAATTTTAAATTTGAACTAGTTCTGGACTTAAAAGCGATAATACTTCAAAAAAATTTCAAGAATCTGGAGTCACATTCCATGCACAGTTTAAAAGCTCGTGGAATTTTATTAAAATTTCTTAGGACCAGTGATGGAAAAGTTCATCAAAGTTCCCTATGACTCGCGAACTTTTCCCTTGGTGATCTTCGTGAAATATCGCGAACTTTTCAAACACTACTTAGGACCTCATTTCGAGGAAGTTCTGGGAAAAAAATCTTCCAGAAAAAAAATCAAATGCAATCTGCTTTCAAGGTAGTTCTGAGAAATTTAAGATTTCTCGAAACCCTGAATTGAATTGAAAGCAAATTTTAATGTAAATTCTTAGTAATTTCTGAGGAGCAAGAGCGACTCCTTCAGGGGAAAATTCCAAGGGTCTTCTATGGATAATTTCTTAAAGAATGTGGGAGAAAACGAATCCGAGACATAAGTCCTTGGAATCTTTTTGAAAATACTAAAAGAAGTATTACAATTAAATCTGAGAATAATTCCAGAACATGTTCAAAGGAATTCAGGAGAATTCAGGAGAGTTTACCAAACAAATTATGAGAAGAAATCTAAAGAATTTTTGAGGAGAAATGCCAATGAATTCTTAGAAGACTTTCAATGTGAGTAGAATTCAAGGGGAAGGAGTGAGATTTAAAAAGAAATCTGAAATGAAGTCAATGAATATTCGGAGAATCTTTCCAAAGGGTTTCTTATTGTGGTGAATTTCAAGATATTTCCGAGGAAAACTAAAAGAAAATTGAAATCGAAGCTTCATCGAAATGTTGAGGTATATTTCAATGGAAATTATAATGAACTATTCTGAGGTCTTCAGAACTACTTGAAAGTTCCCAAATTTGTCCTGAAGTTAATGAAACTGCTTTGCAGCTCTTTTTAGTTTGAGGAACTAGCATGCTGCTCACAATAGTTCTCATTAAATTTTTAAACTTCCCTGAACTTGATAGGACTTCCTAAAGTTTCCTCGATTTTTTAACGATCATAGATCCCTTCTAAAGGTTTAAAAATTCGCTGAAGTTCTCTGAACACCTTTAAAATTTATGTGACCTCTCTAATGTTAACGGAACTGCTCTGAGGTTCTTTGGTAATTTCTGAAATTCTCATAACTTCTCTAAGGTTTTTCATGAAGCTTGTTGTACTGCGCTGAATTTAATTGAACCATCCTAAAAATGTTTAAGCTTAACAGAACTTCTAAACTCATGAGAAAAACCTTAATTAATTTTTTAACGTTTCTGAAGTTATTTGAAAATCTAGGAACTGCCTTAAATTTTCACTAATTTTCTTAAAATAATGGAACCGATCCCCTGAAATTCTTCCAATTTTCGAAGCTTACTAAACTTCTTTCAAATGTACCCGCATTCTGCTAATGTTCATACAAATTCCTGAAGTTCGCGGATTTCCTCTTAAACTTCATAGTTTTTTATGAAGTTCTCGAAATGTTTCTGAAGATCACTGTCCTTCTGTGAAGATTTCAAAGTTTTAAAGCGACATAATTAATATAGTTCTATGATTTTCTCTGAAGTTCTCAAGATTTTTCTGAAGCTCATGAAGCTTCCCGTAAATTATTGGCACTAATTTAAAACTTTTTCAATAGTCAAGACTTTCCTGGTGGTATTAAAACTGCTTAAACGATTATTGAATTTCCTCAAAGTTCTATGGACAGCCATGAATTTATCAGTATTTTTTAAGAACCCGCAACTTTACTGAAATTATTCAAATTTGTTTAAGTTAATGGGATTATTCTGAAGCTTTCTGATCGTCCTCGAAGTACTCGTAACTTCGCTGATTATCATGAAACCATCTAAAAAATATCTAAATGTTTTAGAAGTTCTCTGAATTTTTTTGAAGCTTGCTAAAAGTTCTCGCT